AAATTTACTAATAAGCTGTTTCTCTCACCAAACAGGCCAGAATTCGATTCAATCCCGATATAAAAAGTAAAATAAAGTAGCCCCGCCCAGCTAGGGTTCCATGAGCTACATGAGAGTCGTCGCATCCCTCCCTAGAAGCTGAGAATCTCAGCTTTCTTTAGCCTTTTCTATTCAATTTTGAAGTTTTCTTTTTCCCTAACTCCCTTCTAGTTTTCCTTCCCCTCTCCATGATTTCTGATTCTCTCATAGTTTTTCTACTTGCTCCGTTCCTAAATCTGATAACCCCCAAAATTTTTTTTCGCCGTTGTTTCTCGTTTCCTTAGTTTCTCACCTCCAAAATCCCTAAATACTTTATTAGAGTTTTATACTCCCTGTATTTAGCTATTAGCCAAAAAAACCCCAAATTTTTTTTTATAATCTTTGTTGTTTTTGCTTGTTTTTCCTTATTGGTCGATTATGACACAATCGGGCTTGGTTACCAGGAAGTGGAGCCCTGCCGGAAGAGTGATTGCTGGATCTCCTATCAAAAGGGGAAGATCTATGATGTTTTGGCTAAGGCATGGAGAAACTTTCAGGTAAATGAACACTAATCTATATACTCAGAAGGTCGGAGTAGATTGGGGGTTTTCTGTTTAACATTAAGAGGTGGGAGGTTGGCTATTCCCTTGCTGAAATAATATCTCTCCAGCTTCCTATTGTCATGGCCTTAGGGTTGGCTTTAGGATTGATTAGCTTACCTATGAGAAAGCTATTACCATAGTAACCTAGGCATCCTGGTGAAAGCTGAGAACCCGAGAGCTAGGAACATATTGCTTAGAGATAGGAACATATTGCTTAGGGGCTTTCTGATGTGTAGAATCCAAATTGAGGTTCTGAAACTGCTTATAGCTGGCTTTTGGGCTCATTCGAATAAGCAAGGTCATAGATGGATAAATCTCAAGTATGAAAAACTATGTGATTTTTGTCACAAGTGTGGTAGATTAGGCCATGTTGAGAAAATCTGTGGTGAGGAAAAGTTATGTCTATTTTGGATCCTGATAAGCCTATGTATGATGAATCATTGAGGGCTCCCCAACTCAAGGAACGAGAATTAAGGGCGGAACACCACAGAAAACTTATAGGACAACTTCCAGTAACCTTGTTCTGTCCCTCTCCCTAGAGACTAGTCAGAAAACCATGCATAAATTGTGTGCAAACAAAGGTAGCTGCTACACTACCAGCCATTAGTACTTGGGAAGCCTAAGACTACTCCAACCAACCAAAGACACTGCTTGGCAGCTAAGTTGATAATACAAACTTGTTCTCTGACCAAAACCTTGTCATGGCTCACAGTTGGTTGTAAATAAGCTAGTCACCTTAATGAACTGTACCTTTTGTTTGTCTTGTAAATATGCTGTTTGTGTAACTAAGCTCTGGGATTCGATCTAAATCAAGCTAGGCTTGTGGATTGTAAGCATGTAAAATCTATTTTGGAACTTATGGTTTATATGCAAGTTACGTTTTGAGTATAAGTTTAAGAATGTTCTCTATGAACCAGTAAGATGGTTTCTAGTCTTAATGTAGCTCAAGACTTGCCAACTTTCGAATAGAAATCTATTTCAACAGAAATTTCAGCTATGAGTCTACAGCAGTGTCTGGAACCTACCTGTTTTGGGATGTTACAAATTGGTATTAGGGCCAGGGGTTCTGCTAAGAGTCAAGTCTGTTTGGTTGATAGGTGACTGACTAACTAATTATGCAATTTCTGTTTTTCTTTAATGTAATCTAATGATGCAGGGCAGGTGGATTGTGCCTGCAGAGGAGCCACCAGGATTAATAAACAACAACAGAATGTTGGTGCTGTTGGAGTGGTGACAATTTTTATGGATGTATTACAAACTATTATGAGGGAAATGATACAAGAAGCAATGTAAGATGTGAACCAGCAATGACATGTTCAGAGGCAATCTGGAGGTAATGAGGGTCCAGAGGGGGATTGAATTGTTTGAGGAGGATCCTGAATAAGCCAAACTGAAGTAATTTCAGAAGGGGCATCCACCTACCTTTGGGGGTACACAAGACACAAGTCCAAAGAAATCCAGCTGTGATTAGAGGTAAAATTTCTATCTCCAATGGAATACCTAAAGTACTAATTGATCCTAGATCCACTAACTCATTTGTTTCTTATGCTGCTTTTATATTTGTTAAACCTTCAAGTCTGGGTTATGACAAGCTCCTCAAAAATTATAATAAACTCTAAAAACAGAATTGATTTGATTCAGGAACGATTTAGTAGAGAATAAGAATGGAGAAGTACCTGATGAAGAAGTTGACGCGGCGACAGCTGTTGCAGCAGGGGCGAAGAGGACCAGGATTAGCAGGACTATGAGAAAGATTGCAGTTGAAGAGGTCATCGCCGGAGACCGGGGAGATTGGAGATGCTGCAATTGGGAGAGGCCTCTTTTTTTTAGTGAAACTGATTTTCTTGATAATAACCGACCTGATCTGATTCCGAACAGGTTTTTTTTTTTTTTAAACAATATAAAAAAGTACAATGACAGGAAATGACTTTTTCAAAAAAGGATGATAAGGACAAGATTTTCGATTCTAAGGAATACGGCGGCGGTACAGTAGTCAATGCCCTTTTCAATGAAGTGTGTTAGTGTCAAGTGTGTTAGTGTCTGTGGGGGCCACGCCGGCATCAAAATCATTGGTCCAATGGTACAATAGAAGTTCCTATCGAAAATAAGTATCATAAAAGTTGATTACTACTTTGGGAAGTCATAGTTTTTGAATTTTTTATAACTTTGTCTCTCAAGAATACATGTTAGAAATATTAA